TTTATTATCTTCTTAGCTGGTGTTTAAACTAAATCCTGAAAGACCTGACTTTTTAGGTATTTATTGACCTATTTATTTATAAGAGAGAGGAAAGATAAATGTTGAATAAAATCAGAGATGTTGAGGTTGCCCATATTATGTCTACTTATTTAGATTACCAAATTTATATATTAGACCTTGTAGCTTAGTGGCTTAGAGCATCTGTCCCGGGTGCTTGTATACATGAGGTTGTTGGTTCATCTCTGGCAAAAGGCAAGTTTGTTATAAGGTATATTCTGTGTTTAGGTAAACTAGTGCTCTAATAGATATGACTCTGTAAGAAGGCTATGAGAACTGTGATGCTTGATTTATTATGAATTTTCCGAAATTTCAAGTTATAATCAATCCTAATAATTCCTAATTTAGGAAAATTATGTCTAATTTGAACAGGTTTAGAGGGGGGGTAAGTTAAAAATGTCTAATCCTAATCTTTCATAATTTAGTATAGTAGAGCATCAATTATAGCTAATTAGAGCTTAATACAAGGGAGTGGTTTTCCAGATGATGAAGATATCAAACTGGGACTATAACGCTGGAGCAAAAGCAACCATTGACTCGGCATGCGAAGGAGTCATAGTAAATGAGACTTGGGTCAAGAGACATCGTTTCCCCACCTATGCACTCAACAACCCCATTTGTGTCTGGAATGTTGATAATACCATTAACAAAGCAGGTCTCATCCGATCCACCCTGGATGTGAACCTCAAAATTTGGGACATTTGTGGACAAATGCACACTGAGCATGTCCAGATGTTTATCTCCAATCTAGGGAAGGACAATCTTATCCTAGGAACAGATTGGCTGAAATACCACAACCCCTCCATTGAATGGAGGCGACATGAAGTACAATTTCATCGGTGCCCCCAAAAATGCCACCAACCACATGGATTTACTAGGGCAAGGGAAGAACTGCAGAATAATAGGCGGTTACTGAACATGGAGCCATGGCATAAACCATGGATCAGCGAGCACAAAAAACAGTGCCTAGAATACCTCCAAAGGATATCAGAAGATATTGGACTCCATGACCACAGTGGAACATTTAGTGTCCAACTACGAGCCTACCTTAAAGGAAATGGCTCTTACGGGACATAAAAAAATATGCAGAAGAGAAACGATGGGCCCAATTCAAGCCATCTCTTTCACCAAATAGGGGAGAACCTGACCTCCTAGATAAACCCTCAGGAAAACAGGCCACAAGGGAACCAGTCATTCGGAAACTGGCCCCCGAACCTTCAGGATTTGCTAGCTTTGACCAGGACTTGGAAGATGAAATTGTCATCACCAATCTAAAAGAAAGAGTCCCCAAGGCACACCACCAATTCTTGGACATTTTCAGCGAACAAAAGTCACAGGGACTCCCGGAACATATTTATTGGGACCACGCTATTTGTTATGATCACGTTCTGTCGGGCCTTAACGGCGGTCTATACCAACACGATCATCACAAATATCACGCGGCCTCACAGGTTGAGGCGTACACCAAGGTACAGATATTAACCTTGGTCATCCACTCCCAACGGATCACCTTATCGTTGGTCGAGTATCACGGGCCTATTGTATTAGCGGGCATGGAACGCCGCCTTATAAATTACTCACACGCAGGGCATGAACCTCCTAGTCTTTCCTGGCCGGAAGGAGACGAACGGAGAAGCACAAGAGTAGTCGTTATTGAGAGAGACGACTTAGAGAATACCTACAGATACATATTCGGTATTCTCACGCCCTACTTCCTAAAGTAGTATAAAAGGCCCATAGAGTAGGCTGAGGTTCTTCAGTCTATTCTCTTCGTTCACTGTGGTCTTCCTACCACAGCACGCTCATCCACTGTAGCCTTCCTACTACAGTCTTCATTGCTATATCGCAATACACTTCTGGCTCCTGTGCTACAAGTACAGTCGAGACCACCGTTCCACACATCCTCCACGAGTGACCTAGGGAAGAACCTCCTACTCTTGGGGTTACCGACGAGCAGTCGTAACACTAGAATAGACTCTTCTGCCCCTACCTTGCTCGCACTAGCTTGCTGCCACACTCTCTCTCATAACCTTGCTCAGTGGGGATATAGACCCCCATCGAGAAAGTGTTACTGCATACACTCTGGAGCAAGACCTAGGCCAGGAATACCCACCCGGCACTAGACTTATCAATAACCAACTCCGTCACAACAATCGCCCTATCCGGCGCGAAGGGGACTTCTGGGTCTACAAAGACAATAACGGAACTGCCCCTCCGAATTACGATAACTGCTCATACCGAAACGGGCGTTATTACTTCACACTTGAAGACGGAACAGAAGAAGAGGATATTTGGAACGAAACAGAAGCTCAGTGGGAACTAGCCCCACAATACAGGGAACCAGCGCCGGTAATCCCCGAAGACTCGGAGCAAGAGGAAACAACCTCGGAATCAGACTCCGACTCACCAGACCAAACACCGATCAACACCCGAAACGAACCACTCGCCGAAATGTCGGGACAAGCTTCGACTTCTACAAACACCCCTTCCGCGACAGTACAACCCGGAAGAGGAAAAGTCAAACTCCCAGACAACTACACAGGCAACCGCATTGAATCCCAGAAATTCATGCTCCAATGCCTCCTTCTTTTTGCAGCAGAATCCGATCGGTACAAGACCGATCAAGACAAAATATCCCTTGTGCTCTCATGCATGAGATATGGCACGGCAGGAGCTTGGGCGGAAAACTTTCTCCTAAAATCAGTAGGAGTGGACCCTCCCACCGATCTAGGCACCTGGAAGGATTTCCTAGCAAAATTCAAGCTACAGTTTAGGGAGACGGGCAAGACCGACAAAGCGCGAAGCGCACTCATGGCCTTCTCCCAAGGACGAATGACGGTTGATGAATACTCCAACCAATTCATTCTCATCGCCGCCGATGCCGACATCTCCGATAAAGAGCAGGTCCCTTACTTCCAATGCGGGTTAGACCCGCGGGTCATGGACAAAATATACGACAAGGAAGTCCAGCCAAAGGATACCATTCAGGACTGGATCAATACAGCCTGCGAAATAGATGGACGGCTGCGAGCCAGAACAGCTCAAAAAGCCATCCTCGCCAACTCCACCTCCTTTCGAAGCGATTATCTGAATCGTTTTCATAACCAAATCTCTTCCCGCTACAATTCCACAAACGCCCCTCGTAGAATGAACAACCAAGTCGTTGACATGGACATTGACGCGACACGCAAGCGCAATGCCCTTAGCCAAAAGCGGAAATATGACGGCAAGCCTCCAAGCGCCTGTTACCATTGCGGAAAAACAGGACACTGGAATACTGACTGCCCGTCACGACGCAGAGGCGTTCAACCGACTCGAGGAAACTCGAAGAGACGCATGGGCACGACAGGGAGAGGAAACCGCGCGGTTGATTTGGAAGGAGAAGACGACGCACCCGCTATGGGAAACCAAGCGGGAATATATCGAGGAATGGAGACAGAGGATGTTCATCGCAACAACCAGCGGGTACCACAACCTGGTCCTTCGATGGAACGTCCTCACTCTACCCCATCTGGACGACCCCAGACGAACCATGGGCAGCACACTATGCTACCTAACGGACGACGGGGAGACGGAGGCGTCAGTCATTCTGCTCGAATCGGAGCAGTGCTCGGAGAATTAGGAGAAGATGAAGCCAGAGAAGTAATCTTGGGACACGCGGAGCGTTTTTCCTGACCTCTCCCTCACCAGCGAAGGAGAGAGGTCAAGGACGACCCGAGTTTGATGCCCGCACTTGTATTCGTATCGGAGCAATGAACGACCGTATCATCACCCCCATACGCCTAAACGTGAAAGTATCAAACAGGAGTCAAAACGCTGGAGCAAAGGCAACCATCGACTCGGCCTGCGAAGGGGTTATAGTAAACGAAACTTGGGTCAAGAGACATCGTTTCCCCACCTATACACTCAACAACCCCATTCGCGTCCGGAACGTCGATGACACCATTAACAAAGCAGGTCTCATCCGATCCGCCTTGGATGTGAACCTCACCATTCGGGACATCAGTGGACGAACGCATACCGAGCGCGTCCAGATGTTTATCTCCAATCTAGGGAAAGACGACCTTATCCTGGGAACAGATTGGTTGAAATACCACGATCCCTCCATCGAATGGAGGCGACGTGAAGTGCACTTTGATCGGTGCCCCCAGAAATGCCAGCAACCATATGGGTTCACTAGGGCAAGGGAAGAACCGCCATACAGTAGGCGGTTATCAAACGTGGAGCCACGGCACAAACCACGCATCAATGAGCGCGAAAAACAGCGCCTCGAACATCTCCGAAGACTATCAGAAGATGTAGGACTCCGCAATCACAGCGGAACGTTTGGTGTCCGACTACGAGCATACCTCAAAAGGAAATGGCTCCTAAAGGACATAAGGAAATACGCAGAAGAGAAACGAAAGGCTCAAGACAAGCCATCTCTTTCACCAAATGTGGGAGAACCTGATCTCCCAGACAAACCCTCAGGAAAACAGGCTATAGAGGAACCAGTTATTCGGAAACTGGCTCCCGAACCGTCAGGATTTGCCAGCTTCGACCAGGACTTAGAGGACGAAATCGTCGTCACCAACCTAAAGGAAAGAGTCCCCAAGGCGCATCACGAATATTTGGACATCTTTAGCGAACGAAAGTCGCAGCGGCTCCCAGAGCACACTTACTGGGATCACGCCATAGATTTGAAACCGACTTTCAAACCTCAAGTGCCAAAAATCTACGCCTTGAGCCCCGAGAAACACGATGAACTAGGGAAATTCATCAAGGAACACCTCACTCGGGGGACCATCCGTCGATCCACCTCACAAACAGCAGCCCCATTTTTCTTCATAGGAAAGAAGGATGGAAAACTGCGCCCGGTACAGGACTACCGTCATTTGAACTCGTACACCATCCCAAATGTGTGCCCCCTTCCACTAATCCAAGAACTATTGGACGTAATCAAAGGGGCCACCATTTTCAGCAAATTGGACGTACGATGGGGATACAACAATATACGAATCAAAAAAGGCGACGAGTGGAAAGCCGCTTTCATCACTCCGCTGGGCTCTTATGAACCCACAGTGATGTTCTTCGGCCTCACCAACTCACCAGCCACCTTCCAGGCCATGATGAACATGATTTTCAGAGAACTCATCACAGCCCGGTGATGAGCATGCACCCGCGCTAGGGTCCGAGGGAGGTATTCGGGAAGCTTTGGGGAGATACCGAACAGCGCTCGACAAGTACCGAAGACGCCGACTTTTACCGAACACGGTCGGTCTCTACCCGACCGACGACAAGCCACCGAAGGACGTTCGGCAGCACTTGGGTCAGTTTGCCCACACTTCACGTACTTACCATGACCGCATAGGAGTGTTACGATAAGTGTTTACGAGATCGGAGCCAGTATTCCGTATCGGCCGATGTCCTCCGTGAGTCGGTCGGTCCTTATTGCTTATCTTCCTGACTTCCGCATGGTCGGTCAAACGCGATCTTGCACCATTGCTTGGCCACCCTGGTCGTACAATACCTCTTCTTTATTTTCATTGGCTCTCCAACGCCTGTTCCTGCTACCTACGCTCGGGCGACGGATCCCGAACGTTCGGGATTTCGACATCACTGATTACCTTTTACCTTATCACCTTCGGAACCCATATGGACATCTCACCTACCTTCTTATCTTCTCTGATCGCTGGGGCTTGGCGCCCATTCGACATCTACTCTCATTTCGGGTTCGATATTTTACTTAGGGGCGCTGTTTACTATAAAAACCTACATACAACTCTGGAATAAACCAGCTTTCGCACCCCACAGTTCAGAGCTCATTCGCACTCGTCTCAACCATCAAAATCGTCTTCATCGACTCCCGAAAACTTGTCATCCTCGTTGTTCGGCCTCATTCGCGTTCGTACTCGTCTCTTCGCTCGTACCCCCATCCTCCCTCGTCTATTGTCAGAGTCCCGTGTGGCTCTTGAAGCACGTAGTTGTCGGTCGCGACACTACCTTCTCGTTACCGACCGAATCCCCGACACGACCGACCGAACGTTCGGTCGGTGTTCGGCGCAGTCCCGAAACCGTTCGGGCGCTATAATCTCATACTCCCCGTTGCTTCTCAGTACGCCATCGATTTCTAAAGTCATCACTAACAATTCCTTGTGTATTAGATACTAGCTCCAGCACCCCCTGCATTAGAGGTTGTTTTGGTGTTGTGCCCGGCACTTAGAGCCACCTCTAGCGTATCATTTTGGAGCCCACCGCGAGGGGTTAGTATTCAAAATTACCTCAAGGAATCTACGTCGCTCGTCCCGACCAACAGCGGAGCGCGAAGAACGACAAACAGTTATCGATAGCTTCAATACTCAGGAAACATCTGCCGACCGAAGTTTGTTCGGAGACGCCGATATAGTCCCAGAACACTTATCCCACCATCACTACCTTGATCTCGAATCCTCGCCATCGCTCTCACCACCACCCGACTCCACTTTCTTCTTAACCCCACCTTCGTCGCCGAACCAATCGCTACTCCCGCCGATTTCCCCCATCCTCGACCTTGCACTCTTAGAACAATCACCCCCGTCTCCTATCCCATCTCTCCACGACTCCATCTCTCCGTTAATCCCACGCAGCCCCGTCTTCTGGACGCCGACCATCCGACCAACTTCACTAGAACGCTCCTTCGAACCAGCGACTCCATCCCCGATCACCTTAGAAAACAATACCTTCTCCCCCACCTTTGACTTTATCACTATGGCGACCCCATCCATGCCCGCCCGTGGAGATCGAACGGCCCCGACCTTTGACCCCCATCAACCCCGCGAATTGAGACGATATTTCTCCGATCTGGACTTCCACTTCGTTCGGTCTGCGGTAGTGGACGAACAAGAAAGAAAGAAACACGCTTGCCGATTCCTGGATGTCGACACCTGTGAGCTTTGGGAATCGCTCACCACTTTCACCGACGCCACGAAGACCTTCAAGGAGTTCTGCGAAGAGGTCTTCAGGCTATACCCCGGATCGGAGGAAGAACGCAAATGGTCGGTATCGGATATGGACAAGCTAGTCGGCGAAACGAGCAGGGTCGGCATCTTGTCTCTCAGCGAACTCGGCGACTATCATCGGCGATTCCTGGCGATCACGGTATTCCTCCTCAGCAAGGCACGGATCTCGGTCGCCGAACAAGGACGCGCCTTCGCTAGAGGATTCCAACCGGAGCTATGGGCAAGAATCTCTCAACGTCTACAACTCAAGTTCCCCGATCATTTCCCAGACGACCCATACAACCTCCAAGACATCCACGACGCGGCCCGATTCGTCTTGCACGGCACCACGTCCGCCTACAGCACGACCTCTACCGACATCTCTCGAGCAGCCCCCGCCGCGCCGCCCACCAACGCAATCAAAGCCGAAGACCTGGCAACCATGTTCGAACGACTCACCGACACCTTTGTCAAGGCCATTGCAGCTCAAGGGACGTCCAGACCAGCCGATCGACCATCCCGACAACCAGGACAAGGCAGCGACAACTGCATGTTCTGCGGCAGTCCCGAACACTTCATGCGCGCCTGTCCCGAGGTCACCGAATACATTCGGATCGGAAAATGCAAGAGGAACATCGAGGGGAAGGTGGTATTGTCAAGTGGGGCATTCGTACCGAGAGAAATCACGGGTAGTAACCTGAAGGACCGAGTTGACGAATGGCATCGCAGGAATCCAGGCCAGTTGGCGACCGGACAGATGATGTTTACGGTAAACGCGGTGCCGACTCACCCGATGACGATAGCCTCCCGTCACGATTCACCCTCATTACTGGATGTCACCCCGACTTACCAACTCACCGACATCCAGCGAATCGCGAGCCTCGAACGCGAACTATTCGCGCTCCGAACGCGGGGAGCAAGGGCACGCGAAATGGCGCAGACAGGACGTTCGGCACCTACCCCTTCACCGGCCCCCGAACGACGAGCGAGGACCGAAACTCCCGAACCCGAACCCCGACCGACCACCCCGACTCAGCGACCGCCCCCGGTACCAGCCAAGGACGATGCTCCGATCCACCCATATGCCAAAGCCCAGGACGCCACCTATGCACCGCCACACGACCGCAACATGGGAGCCCCGGCGAAGATACCATCGGCAAAGAAGGACGCTCCGGCCTACAAAACCACGGCGCCGATCTACGACGAGAAGGTAGCAGCTGAGGTCTACAACAGGGCGATGGCCACTCAGGTGACGCTTACCCAGCGCGAACTACTCTCTCTCTCCGCCGAAGTCCGTTCATAGGTAAGGGAAGCCACGTCGGCACGCCGATCGCCTGCCAGAGACGCCAGCAATGTTCGGACCTTCTACCAAGATGCCGATCTACCCTACGCCATCGACGACCTCGAACCACCGACTCGACCGACCGTCTCCTCCTTCGTCAATGTCCTGCACCAACCGGAATCACCCCCGCCTGGCGCGATCATCATCCCCGACATGTACGAAACGTACCTGAAGAATCTACAGCCCGGTCAGGTTCCTCAGCCATTGATAGTTGCTAAAGAATCGTCTGCCCTAAGGTCTATTGTTCCCCTCGTCGATCATCAGCAGGAAGTCGAATGCGTCATCGACCCGGGTTCACAAGTCATTGCCATGTCGGAAGGCATTTGCAACGAACTGGCGCTCATCTACGACCCCGAAATCGTCCTCAATATGCAGTCGGCGAACGGCGAAATTGACCGATCCTTGGGCCTGGCACGCAACGTGCCATTCCTCATCGGCGACATCACCCTATACCTCCAAGTCCACATCATTCGGAACCCCGCCTACGACGTTCTCCTCGGTCGGCCATTCGACATCCTCACCGAAAGTATCGTCAAAAATTATTCAAACGAAGACCAGACGATCACCATCAGCGACCCGAACACGGGACGACGAGCCACCATTCCGACGATCAGACGAGGACCCCCTCGAGTCCTTCACCGAAGACAAGCGGGTTTTCGCGACTCGATGAATTGATCCGAGATCAAGGAGAAGTTGCACTGATCATTTCCACCGATCATGATACCCCCCATTTCCCACTTATCAAAGCGTCCTCAGATTTCCATTCTCCATCTCCCTCTCGTCGCGATCTTTGTCTCAAGTACATTATGGCCTCCGATTTGGGGCCCGAAAATCATCTCAAAAACAATCTCGATTCCGATATGTCGTCTTTATTTTCCTCAGTCGTCCCCGGTTCTTGCCATCCCACTAATATCGCCGACCCGGTCGCCATCTTCGCCGCCAAGCGCAAGTACAAACCGGTCGCTCAGAAAACACGACCAGTCTTGGCCGACCTACCCGAAAAGTTCCGAATCGTTCGGAACATCCTCGGTTACCCTCTCGCTGCCCTTCCGACGCTGACACCGAACCCCCCACCCTTCACGCCGACCGGCAGATACACAGCCGAACGACGCGACCTCATCGACAAAGTCCACTCGGACGACTTCCTTTGGCCGGCCGAACGACAGCTCATGCACCATTTCATGTGTCTACAAGAGATGGGATTTGCCTGGGACGATTCGGAACGCGGACGTTTCCGCGAGGACTTCTTTCCTCCAGTCAATATGCCGGTGGTCGAACACAAGCCCTGGGTTCAACGCAACATTCCGATTCCACCAGGCATCTACGACGAAGTGTGCCGACTTATCAAAACCAAGATCGCCGCTGGAGTCTATGAGCCGTCGAATTCGTCCTACCGATCACGCTGGTTTACGGTTGTCAAGAAGACGAATAGCACCTCCACTGGCACCAAACTCCGAATCGTTCACAGCCTCGAACCCCTGAACGCCGTCACCATTCAGCATTCAGGTGTGCCTCCATATACCGATCAGATCGCTGAACAGTTTGCAGCTCGCGCTTGCGGCGGCATTCTGGATCTCTATGTCGGCTATGACGAACGAGGGCTCGCCGAATCATCTCGCGACTTCACCACGTTCCAGACCCCATTCGGCGCCCACCGACTCGTCACCCTGCCCATGGGATGGACAAATTCGGTCCCGATCTTCCACGACGACGTCACCCACATCCTCCAGCCAGAGATACCAGACACCACCATTCCTTTCATCGACGATGTTCCGATTCGGGGCCCACCGACCCGATACGAACTTCCGAACGGCGGCTTCGAGACGCACCCCGACAACTCCGGCATACGACGATTCGTGTGGGAACACTTTCAAGGCCTCAATCGGGTGGTTCAGCGGATGAAGTACAGCGGAGGAACATTTTCGGGACACAAGGCGACACTCTGCGCAGCCGAAATCACGGTGGTCGGCCATCGCTGCACGTACGAAGGAAGATTACCCGACGAATCTAGGGTAGAGTCAATTATGAAGTGGGGACCTTGCAGGGATCTCTCTGACGTTCGGGCATTTTTGGGGACGATCGGTGTCGTTCGGATCTTCATTCGAAATTTTGCACACAGGGCGCATGCACTGACAATGTTAACGCGCAAAGATTTTCCATTCGTGTTCGGCCCAGACCAGATAGCGGCCCAGGACGACCTCCGGTCGGCACTTCTCGAATCGCCAGCCCTTCGGCCGATCGACTATGGGTCGGCAGCCAACGTCATCCTCGCCGTCGATACCTCTCAAATCGCGGTCGGCTTCCACCTCTGTCAATGCGCACTCGACAATCCGCGGGTTCGGTACTATGCTCGATTCGGCTCCATCACCCTTAACGACCGCGAATCGCGATTCTCCCAACCCAAGCTCGAACTCTACGGCCTCTTCCGCGCCCTCCGATCACTCAAAATGTATCTCATCGGCGTTCGGAACCTGATAGTCGAAGTAGACGCACGCTACATCAAGGGCATGCTCACTAACCCGGATCTCGAACCCAGCGCCAGCATCAATCGGTGGATCGTCTCCATCCTCACCTTCCATTTCACACTTGTCCACGTCCCCGGCACCTCTCATGGCCCCGATGGCCTCTCCCGACGACCACCACAACCCTCCGATCGACCCGAACCCGAAGACGACTTTGACGACTGGATCGACAATCTCTACGGCTTCCTCCATCAGATCAACAACACGTTCCCCACCTCCATCTCAACCTCGACAACCGCCATCTTCACCTCCTCGCTCATAGGCGACCTCCCGACCGATACCGAGTCCGACGACGAAGGCCCGACCATCGACTATTCAGATATTCCAAGATCGCAAAAAGCTTTGGAAGCCGAAGAACGCCTATGGTTGGTCCGCGACTGGCACCGAACATTGGTTCGGCCCCCTTCTCTCTCCGACTCCGAATATGCGACTTTTCTACGATATTGCACTGAGTTCTTTATCGCAGCCGACAAGCTATGGAGAAAAGACTCACACGGCCGACACAAGATTGTTGCAGCCCCCTCTAGTCGAATCACAATTCTCACTGCCGCCCACGACGACGTCGCTCACAAGGGTTTCTACGCCACGACTGCCTTGATCGCCGAACGCTTCTGGTGGCCGCACATGAGGCAAGACATTTCCTGGTTTGTTCGGACCTGTCACCTTTGCCAGATTCGCCAGACTCGCAACGTTCTCATTCCCCCGACCGTCGCCACGCCCGCACCACTCTTCGCGAAAATGTATATGGATACCATGCACATGCCGACCGCCGGTGGTTTCAAGTATCTCGTACAAGGCCGCTGTTCGGTATCACACTACCCCGAATTCCGCATGCTGCGACGCGAAACAAGCTCCGCACTCGCCGACTGGATCTTCGAGGATATCCTGTGCCGATGGGGAACACTGGTAGAGATTGTCTCCGACAACGGACCGGCATTCGTCAAGGCGCTCGACCAGCTAGCAAAGAAGTACCACGTTCGGCACATTCGCATTTCGGGCTACAATTCCCGCGCCAACGGCATCGCCGAACGACCTCACTTCGACGTTCGGCAGGCTCTGTTCAAAGCCGTTGATGGAGACCAGGCCAAGTGGAATCGTGCAGCTCATTTCGTATTCTGGGCTGATCGTATTACTGTTCGGCGCCGAATGGGTTGCTCGCCATACTTCGCAGCGACCGGAACCCATCCCCTCCTTCCCCTCGACATCGCCGAAGCCACCTATCTTCTACCACCACCGACCACGGCCCTCAGCACCACCGACCTCATTGCTCGACGTGCCATCGCTTTGCAGAAACGACGATCGGACCTCGCCCACCTTCGCAGCTCAGTAGTCGGCGCCCGTGTCCAGGCCGCCATCCGATTCGAACAACAGCATTTGGCCACACTTCGCGACTTCAATTTCCACCGAGGCTCGCTTGTCCTGATGCGCAACACAGCCATAGAAAAGGCGCTCAATCGGAAGATGCGTCCACGTTATTTAGGACCTTTGCTAGTAATTTCTAGGAATCGGGGAGGAGCGTATATTTTGGCCGAACTCGATGGATCGGTCTTTGATCGGCCAGTTGCAGCATTCCGCGTTATTCCTTATTTTGCTCGCAGGTCTCTGAAGCTCGCCGACCTTGAAGCCCTCCTCGACATCTCGCAGGAACGCCTTCGGGCCATGGAAGATTCCCGCTCGAGCGACGACGACGCCGAAGACGATAGTGCCGATGAAGATACCGACACCAGCTCAGTCCGATCGGCGGAGGACGACGACGCGGCTTCGGCGACCTCCGACTAGATCCCACCCTCCCACCCTTCGCTCTCTTCGGTCGGTGACTGGGGACAGTCACGATTTCAGTAGGGAGGAGGATTCACAGATATACCCATTCCTTATCTTCGTTTATTCGTCACAGACATGGACTGACGCCCAATCATTTCCACATATCTTAGTACTTTTACCACCGACCGATCGCCGACCGAATAATCGGCACTCATTTTCCCATCACTCCTTCAAGTACCAAGCCGCATTGAAGACTTCTTCCGATTTGCGCAAAACCATAGGGTTTTATGCCTGTGATGACATACTGAGGCTTCCCCTAAATATTCCAATTTATTTTTCTTTATTTCTGCCGAACGCTTCGCTTACAACTACATTCACACGCAGTCATTTCGCCGACCGATTTCTCGAACGACACCTCCAGTCTTCGCCAAAACGTCTCATTCAAACCAGGACAGTCCTTTCACTATTATGTTACATTTTACTGTACTACAGACACCTTGAAGCTATTCTACACATCGGGCACAAAGTCGCCCAACACAGACATGTCCGAATCCTCGGAATCCGACGAGTCTTCCACCAGCACCACATCCGAAACTGCCGATCCACCCGAACGCGCCTCAAGACTTGCCAACTCACCCTGCCACATCGCGATCGAACGCGCCAGCGAGGCACGCGTACCTTCGGCCACAGCGATGCGGTACCGAAGCTCCGACGCGATGCCTTGCGCAACGACAGGAGACAGGCGAGAGGAGTCGGACAAAGCGGGGACAGCAGAGGAACGGGGACGGGAAGGGGCCAGGACGGTACGAGTGGTGGTTGGAAGACGCTGGACTGGCTTCCGAGCCCGAACAGCTAGACAATACGATGAGCTCATATCCCAGCAATGTCCGACCGATTACTCACCTTTTGTCCGCGCGATACTCTCGCCGACAGATCGTTCGGGAACGAGCACCTCGACCTTACGCTTCTTGGTCGGGCGCGATGGTTCCGGCTCCCCCGACTTTTCGGCCGCCTTCGCTTTCGACTTCCCTTTCCCCTTGGACTTTCCCTTGTTCGGCATCCACCCGGGTTGGAAGCTGCAGCCTTTCTGCTCCCTGGAGCACTTCGTACACGAAACTTGGCCGGACCTCGTGTAGCAACGAAAGGCCACGGTGGTAAACTCAGCCGCACACCTTTGGCAGGCGTAGTCGGCCTGGAAGAAGGAGAATCAGCAAGCAATGAGAGGCGGCAAAAGGGAGGGGACTTACGAGTACATCTCCAGGCATCAAACCCGGGGGATCCTGCATCATCTTCCCGGCACCGTTCCTCTCCACGGGCGACCAAACAGTCGACATGCGACCCGTTCCAGGACCGAGAGGGACGATCACCCGACCTTGAGACGGAGTTCGCTGGCGAGCGAACTCGACGACAACAGCGGCAGCGCGCTTCCCTTGAGATTCGATCGGAGCGATCGGAGCGGTCGGGTCCACACTCATGCGATGCATAGCCGCGGTTGTTGAGACCAGGACGGCGTCGGCGGAAGGAGCAGGATCCGGGGAGGGAGAGGGAAAGAAAAGAGGGGGAGGGACCGCAGTTTCGGCGTCCAGCTCGGCCAGCTGACGCTCACCTTCTTCAGGATCGAGAGACCCATCAAACATGGCGCCTACCACAGCGTCCCGGCGCCGCTGACGATCTTCTGCGGCCACCTGCGACGCAGCAGCAGCCCGCGCCGCCTCCGCTCGCTCAGCCTCGCGTTCGGCGGCAGCTACCCTCTCGGTCTCCTCAGCCAGGGCCTGTTCTTCGGCTTCTTTCTGCTGCTTCACAGCAAAGCGCGCCGCCCGCTGCGGCAGGACGCGCGCCCCCCATACCAGCCAGCCGTCGGTAGCCATGTGGTCGAGCCCGCGCTCAGCTTCGGCGATGAGATCGGCAAGTTCGGGAATGTCTTCACCACGCGCCGAACGATCGAGAAGAGCCTAAGGAGGTGGTTGGCAGCAAGTAAGAGCAGGAGGGAGGGCCGACTCACCACACGACGGGCGAAACCTTGGCCCCAGAGCTCATAATCTTCATACTCAGCCGCTCCATCTGGGAGGGAGAGCATGTATTCAGCAAGTTTCGCCTTGAGAACGGGGAGGATGGACGGCATTCGGAAGAGGAGACAAAGCGGCAGGAGGACGGCGACGAGGGACTTAGTCGCTGGAGAATCAACGATCGGCAGGTGATTGTGGTCACCTGACAAAGCCCCGTGCCACGGCGCCCGGCAGAGACCGCGATACGCGCCACCGTCCTTTGCCGACACACTCTCACGCCAGCGCCTAGTTGGGGCACTCTAGGTCTCAGCCACTGCCTCACCTAATCAGTTGCCACGCCACAGGACTTTGCCAACTCAGCCCCGGTCTCTCTTGCGCGCCGACCCGGTCCTTTCTACGACATCTCCGTGCCGATTATTCACCTGTGCCACATCCCTCCCACGCACCCATTCCTTTCCACGCCACCGCTCATTGCCGATCTTTTTCCCATGAAACTTGCCACGCCGCTCCAGGTTCCACGCCACAGCTATTCTTTCCACGCTAGCGCTTGTTGCCGACGCTTTCCCACATCTCTCCCACGCGCCCACTTCTTTCCACGCCATCGCTTGTTACCGACGCTTTCCCACATCCACACACCACGCGCCCTGATCCACGTGCAGTGTTGCCACGCCATTTTTTCCGCTCCAACTCATAGCCGCCGACCACTGACTGAGGACAGTCAGGATTTCAGTAGGGAGGAGATGATGAGCATGCACCCGCGCTAGGGTCCGAGGGAGGTATTCGGGAAGCTTTGGGGAGATACCGAACAGCGCTCGACAAGTACCGAAGACGCCGACTTTTACCGAACACGGTCGGTCTCTACCCGACCGACGACAAGCCACCGAAGGACGTTCGGCAGCACTTGGGTCAGTTTGCCCACACTTCACGTACTTACCATGACCGCATAGGAGTGTTACGATAAGTGTTTACGAGATCGGAGCCAGTATTCCGTATCGGCCGATGTCCTCCGTGAGTCGGTCGGTCCTTATTGCTTATCTTCCTGACTTCCGCATGGTCGGTCAAACGCGATCTTGCACCATTGCTTGGCCACCCTGGTCGTACAATACCTCTTCTTTATTTTCATTGGCTCTCCAACGCCTGTTCCTGCTACCTACGCTCGGGCGACGGATCCCGAACGTTCGGGATTTCGACATCACTGATTACCTTTTACCTTATCACCTTCGGAACCCATATGGACATCTCACCTACCTTCTTATCTTCTCTGATCGCTGGGGCTTGGCGCCCATTCGACATCTACTCTCATTTCGGGTTCGATATTTTACTTAGGGGCGCTGTTTACTATAAAAACCTACATACAACTCTGGAATAAACCAGCTTTCGCACCCCACAGTTCAGAGCTCATTCGCACTCGTCTCAACCATCAAAATCGTCTTCATCGACTCCCGAAAACTTGTCATCCTCGTTGTTCGGCCTCATTCGCGTTCGTACTCGTCTCTTCGCTCGTACCCCCATCCTCCCTCGTCTATTGTCAGAGTCCCGTGTGGCTCTTGAAGCACGTAGTTGTCGGTCGCGACACTACCTTCTCGTTACCGACCGAATCCCCGACACGACCGACCGAACGTTCGGTCGGTGTTCGGCGCAGTCCCGAAACCGTTCGGGCGCTATAATCTCATACTCCCCGTTGCTTCTCAGTACGCCATCGATTTCTAAAGTCATCACTAACAATTCCTTGTGTATTAGATACTAGCTCCAGCACCCCCTGCATTAGAGGTTGTTTTGGTGTTGTGCCCGGCACTTAGAGCCACCTCTAGCGTATCACCGGAAAATAACCGTATACATGGACGATATCCTCATTTTCTCCAAAAACATGGCGGAACACATTCAAGTCCTGAACCAGGTTTTCCAGATCTTACGCGACAACGACCTTTACTTGAAACCAGAAAAATGCGAGTTTTATAAAGAAAAACTCCAATATCTGGGATACACCATTTCAAAAGACCATGTCGCTATGGAAGACTCGAAGGTGGACGCCATACAAGATTGGCCAGTCCCACGCACCGTCCGAGACATTCGCTCCTTTTTAGGTCTAGGAAACTTCTACAGGCGTTTTATAGATAAGTTCTCCCTTATCGCAAGACCTCTGCATGACCTCACCAAAAAGGATGCAAAATGGAACTGGACTTCGAAGTGCCAGGAAGCCTTCGAACGATTAAAAAGGGCATTTATCAGCAAACCCGTTCTGAATTACCCGGACCCCATGCATCCATATCGACTAGTAACGGACGCCTCACTAATCGCTTATGGAGCCACCCTCCTGCAAGAAGGAAAAGACGGCGACTGGCATCCAGTCGCATTCCTTTCCGGGTCATTTTCACCAGCAGAACGGAACTACGACGTCCACGATCGCGAACTCCTGGCCATCATAAAAGCGTTGGAACACTGGAACCACTACCTCGAAGGTGCACGACACCCATTCGAGATCTGGACAGATCACAAGAATCTGGAACACTTCCAAACGGCGCGAGATCTCTCACGACGACACGCCCGTTGGAGCCTTTATTTGAGCAGATTCGACTTCACGCTCAGCTATAAAGCGGGATCAACAAATCATTCCGATGCTCTGTCCAGGCGTCCAGATCTAAGTGAGGGGGTGGAATCTGACAACAAAGCTCAAATTTTGCTCCCGGCCAACCTTTTCAACAAATCTGACGAAACATTGGTAGAACCGTCTCCGACACGGCATATAAAGTCCACGGAAATCGCCTCCTCAAACCTCATTTCCCTCATCCGACACTCGAAATCGGAACATGATGCCTTAACGAGGGTAGCCCTCGCAAAGCTCTTACGAGTAGGACCACAAGGGATGAGAGGATTACTGGGACATTGGACATATGAAGACGGAATCACCAGACGCAACGGCCACATATGCGTCCCAAAGGACGACGTCATCCGAAGACTCATCGTCAAAACACACCATGATGCACCCGCGGTAGGACACCCGGGTAGAGCAAAAACATTGGAAATAGTGCAACGACACTACTGGTGGCAAAACATGACTAAATTCGTCCACGAATATGTGGATGGATGCGCCATATGCCAATCTACAAAGAACTTGACACACAAGACACACCCACCTATCCACCCTCTGGAAACCACCAACGTCCCTTGGCGATTCATCTCGACGGATTTCGTCACAGACCTACCCGAAAGCAAAGGTTTCGACTCAATTAACGTGGTAGTGGATCAAGGTCTGTCAAAAGGCATAGTCATCACCCCATGCAAGAAAACGATCACGGCAGAAGAAACAACCGCGCTTTTCCAAAATAACGTTTTCAATCGACATGGACTGCCGACCAAAATAGTATCCGATCGGGGCCCTCAATTTGCGGCCAAGTTTACCCGAGAACTCTGGACACGGCTAGGAATCACCGCCGCTCTCAGCACGGCTTATCATCCCCAAACAGATGGAGAAACGGAACGGGTAAACCAGGAGATCGAACAGTTCCTGAGAACGTTCTGCAACTACCATCAAGACAATTGGGTAGACCTTCTGCCGTTTGCCGAATTCTCGCATAACACACGGAAGCACTCGGCCACCGGAAAATCCCCTTTCGAAGTGCTATACGGCTTCAATCCTCCCTATTCAGCTGACACGGCACTGGAGACAAAGGTACCTGCGGTAGCTGAACGCATTAAGACGATCATAGAAGTTCAGGAAGAAGCCGCTGCTAGCTTACAAATAGCCAGCAACTACGCCAAAGACCGGGATCTTCACAGGAAACTTCCCCAATGGGAAGAAGGAGACCAAGTATGGCTAGAAGGAACCCATATTCGGACAACCCATCCTAAGTTCAAACTCGCCCCTAGGCGATATGGCCCTTTCAAGATACTGGGAAAAGTGGGAACCCTGGCGTACAAACTCCAAATTCCTCCGCAGTGGAAGATCCACCCGGTATTCCACGCCGCAGTGCTCACTAAATATAGAGAAACCGAAGCCCACGGAGAAAACTTCGCGCGACCAATACCGGAAGTATTGAACGATGAAGAACACTACGAAGTAGAAATGATCGTGGACTCAAAACGGCAAGGACGGGGAACCAAATACTTGGTCAAATGGATGGGATATCCCGAAGCAGACAACACCTGGGAGCCCTACGCCCTCCTAAAAGGAACGGCGGAAGAAGCCATGAAAGATTTCCACGACCAATACCCTGACAAACCTCGTCCGGGAACAGCCTGAGAGGAGGGGCGAAAGATTATAAAAGGAGCAACGAGAGGACTCCAACAAAACATCTTCTCACCCTTTTCCCCTCTCAAACACATCCCCCATTCGAATGCTCCTCCACGACGACCACGATGCTTCGTCTCCATCCAGAAACTCCTCCCCCGATGTCGTCCTTATGGTCGCCAATCCAGATGTCGAACGAGTGGAAAGAGGAACAAGTCCTCACCGACCAGATGCTGGACGAATTGATAGAGGAACAAGTCCTCAACAACCAGGACCTACCGGCGTCCTCCTCACCCCTCATCTCAACAACTTCTCCGACGACGACGCCGAAGACTATGCCAAGTTCAAAGAAAGGGAAAGAACCCGAAGACCCTCACCGGAGAGGGCCTCACGAGATGCACCACGGCATGAAAACCCTGATGACCGAAACCAGTCGAGCCTTGGCCAATTACCAGTGGGAGTTCCACCTCCTAGTGAAGGCACGCCAAATAGTGGAGTTGCAGGTCCCTCGGGATTTCGAGCAAGAACGACAGCTCAACTCCCAAGCCATGGAGAAGCTGAACCAATACCAGTTCTATCAGAAACTGCACCTCCACCAGTACCAACTAGTGGACCGGTTCCCAGCTCCATGGGAGGACCTACCCCTCGTACAGATCCTCACGCCGGAGAACTGGAGCGACACGCAGACGCGCTCCTCCAGCGGAACACCATCTCCGCGGTAATACAAATGGCCACAGCCATGGCCCTCCAAAGACTTGCTAACTTCTCGGCAGGACAACCCGGGAATGAACATAGCGACGTACCTCGACGACTGGCTAGTGCCAGTCTCCAGATCAGGGCGCTCGCCCTCCAAACCGACCCGGACACAGCCTCCTGGTACGCCCACAATGACGGGCGACCCCGAGCCCTCCTCATCCACCCTGACGAGTTCTCCCAATACGTCAACCGAGAGCTCCTTCCAGCTCTCCTCTTCGGAGGAGAACTGGGAAACGTCCAACCAAGCAGAACCGACCCTTTCCGAGTTGTCACTTGGAACGTACCACGTCCCGGAGAACACCCCGCGCCTGTACCAAATCCAAGGAGGGTTCCGCGTACGGTCGTGGAGCGCCCTCCGCCGAGACAACGAGAGGTTCCTACAGCGCATAGCCATACCGCGACTTCCCCCTCTCACCGGATACGAGGTTTTCCCCTATCCCAAGGAAATACCGACGAGGAGGAACCGCCCGTCTATCGAAGAAATAAGGGAAGGCGAAGTCGGGGAAGCCAGGCAACCCTCGGACGCGGAACAACTGCTGGCCGGAGTGTTCGACACCGGCCTAGATCGCCTCCTCCTAGTGCTCGATTTCGTACGAACGAAAGAGAGGATAACCGAAG